ATACTGAAGCTATGAGGACTCGCAGGGCTGTTAATCCGAAGTTCAGAGAAAGGGAAAGAGAAGTGAATTCTGAAGCCATAAGGACTCGCAGGGCTGCTGATTCACAATTCAGAGAAAGGGAAAGGGGAATGAATTCTGATGCAATAAGAAACCGCAGAGATGCTGATCCAGAATTCAGAGAAAAGGAAAGAGAGGCAAACAATGCAGCAGTGCGAATCCGGAGACCTGGTCGGGGAAGAGAAAGAAAGCGTCAAGAAAACGTCCTGCGAATGCAACGCCGGAGAGCCATGGTGGAGGTGCGAGCTCCAGAACGCATTAGGGATCGTGAAGCGCGACAAGAGCAAAGAAACAGTTATGTTGTTGGTGTAATTATGTATAACAGTGCAGTCAAGGAAGGTCCAACCCAGGTTTGCGTTTGCTGTGGTCGATTGGTATTCAAACGTCATATCGTAAAACCTATTAAGTCAAATCTTTTGCATGCAAGCAGTGAGAACCGAGCTCGGACGTACCTTATAAACCGTGTTTTTTTATTTGTATCACAACGATGAGGGGTCTTTTTGCTCGACTTGTGCTGAAAGCATTAGGCATTGGAAGCAGTCTCGTTACTGCCTTTCAAATGGGTTGGATTTCCCCTCGGTACCTGAAATGGTTAGCGATCTGACACGGTTAGAAGAGAGACTAGTAGCGGCTCGCCATATCTTCCGAACAATCCGGCCTTCATTTGGCCCCACTGGACAGTTTCGATGTAGGGGTGGAATTGTTAACGTCCCAGTTTCCGTAGATACAACAGTATCGATGCTGCCTCGCCCTCCAACAGACATTCATGTTCTGCACGTTCGCATAGCGCGACGGGTGCATTATAGCGGAAATTATATTTCTGGTAATGTTCGACCACGTCTTGTGTGGGAAATTGCTAGGTATCTTTCTAATCAGCCGTTTTATCAGTCTTACAACGCTGGAGTCTCAGACAACTGGCTACAACAGCACAACCAAGTAACAGTTGGAGATGTAAACATAGAACCGGAGGAACCGGAGGAAAATGAGGGCATCGAAGAAGCAGAGCCTGTTAATCTGGATGTTCAGGAGAACATGTTAATGACAGATAATAGTCAGTGCGATATAAGGATGGCACCAGCTGAAGGGCATAGGCCTCT